GACTCAGGCAGGAAGATTGCCAGAGCCAAGGAGTTCAACACCAGCCTGGGCAACATAGGGAAACCTCATTTCATAAAAAAAAAAAAAAAAAAAAAAGCAAAATGAAGTCTGAGAGACTCAAAAGAATTCACAAAACAGTCATGCCAATGGTACAATTGTTTTACTGGGATCATTTAAAGATTATTCTATTCAAAAAACTTGGACAACTCTTTTCACTTTCTACAATTGTCTTTTTACAGTAAACAAAATATAACCCCAGAGTTTTACAAATATTTACTTCGGAAAAGATACTACCCTGCAGTTAGTTTGGAAAGAAAATGAATTCCATTCAGAAAGAAATACACTAATAGAACTGTATTTCCAATCCATTTACTTTTTAAGCTATCAAATTTTCTCATTTAAGCCACCTTTTCTGTGTACCGTGTAGAGAACCTTTTGAAAGTGAATTAAAAGTCTTTGCCTTCTTCATTCTGTCGATAAACTCTTGAGAATACTGAGATACCTCCAGATAACCTGTATGTTTTCTCCTGGGAACAAACTTTAGAGCATCTTCCCAACTACCAGTGTTTTTCAGACATAACAAAAGCCGAATCATTTGATCTAAGGTGAGATTTTTAGAACCTATATCCCATTGTAAATATTTATCTAATGGAAGGCATTCTGTTGCCAGCTTCAGCCGCTTTGCCTTGGCTAGGGATGTGCCTGGCTGCATATGCTTATCAACAAAAGACCCAACTACATAAATTTTATCATGCTTGAAGGTAGTCATAACATTAGGAGAATCTGCAGTTAAATATATAATACTGTCCTTTGGAAATAAATCTACATGAGACTTTTCTGTTGCCGTTAAAAGCAATTTGTCCCATTTTTCTCCATACCGCTTAATTAATTCTCTATGATAAGCACCATCTGTTTTAAGATTGCAGAAATAAATATGGAAAGGATCAACATTTCTTCTGTTCCATCCTTCACTTTCTAAAAGTTGGGAAATAGTATTCTGCAGTTCTTTTCGATTCATATAATCCTCATAAGCCATGTCAAAAACCAAGGGTTGTCCAAACTGCATGGCCTGGGCACCCTTCCAGCCCATTGCAATGTCCATATTCCTATCCCAAAGTCGTAAAAATAGAAAGTTTTGCTGTTTATCTTCCTCAGTGGTTTCTAGCAGCTTGCTTTTTATAAATTCTTCCCTTGCTGCTGCTTTTGCTTCCTTTTTTATTTGCCTAGCTTTTTTCATTTTTTCCTTAATATATAAATATTTTAAATATTTTTTTTTTGATGATTTAGAAGCACATTCCATAATGGTTTTGAGCTCATCTTCAGTGATATGTTCTGGTACTTCTCTGCCAAGCAATCTCCACATCTCAATTAACTCTCTGGTGGCAGCTAGAGGATCTTCATCCTTGTTGCTTGAGACTGTTGAAACATCTTCTTGCACACTAGATTTCATTGTTGTTTTCCACCCATCCAATTCTAGCTGTTCAGGAGGGGATGTACTCTCCTTAGTAGAATAGGACAAAGATGGTATTTTGGAAGACATATTTCTCTGCAGAATTGTTGAATATAAATTCCTGCTCTTCCTATGAAGGGTAAATGGCACCAAAAACCTGGCAAAAGGTCTTAAGAAAATGACACTAATACTCATTTTGAGGAACAGACCTGTAAAAAAAACCCCTGCAAAAGAAGATGCAATTAAAAGTTAGACAAATGCAATGTATTTCTGAAACACAAAGTAAAATCTTTATATAACTTTTGTGCTGTACTATTAATTTTTCCTAGACTCCTGTGGCTTAGAGCCTGTGATCACTCACTGTGCAAAAAGTTTAAAACTTATTTGGGCTCTTATTTTACACATGAATTTCACTATTGCTTTAAGTAAAACGATAACCTGAAAATCCTTTTTAGATCTGTATCTAGAGGCCCACAGGATCAATGTTACTGATAACGAAGTTATGTACCACTGATGCAGCTGAGATCATGATGCTATATTCTCCACCATTCTAACTAAGCCTGGATACAGACACCAACACAAAATTCTTCATAAAGGCAACATATGAAGATAAAGGACAGGAAAGTTACAGAAGATGGCAACTGGTAAAAAGCATTTAGGACCTGCCATACCAATGCCCTTGTGTTTCCCAAACAGAAATGTATAGATATCTACTCATCAAAAAACAACAGACTCTTCTCCAGTTCAAACTTTATTTTGCAGCAAATAATGTTATTGCCAAACAAAATGTACTAAATTGGGGCAAATGTATACAAAGCTCCACAATTTTATCCCAAAGGTTTGGCTATCCACATGAAAATAAAGATGCTTAAAGATGTGAAACCAGTGTCAATTATGAAGAAAAAAGAAAAGGAATTCGAATGTTTACAAAATGCAAATGAAACACTTGAAAAAAATTCCTTCTTCCCTTGGCTTCACTTAACGACCCTGCATGCTCCTAGGTCTCCTGCCTCTCTGACCTGTGCACTGATGCCCAGATACCCCCCTCCCTTAAAAGTGGACTTGACTCTGCATTCTATTCTTACTTTCTTTTTTAATCTGTGAGATCTGACCTACTTCTGTACCTTCAATAACCATACATAAGAAAGACACTTCAAATGCAACTAATTGAAATTATTTGTCTACCCTCCTTTCCCAACCTGATCCTTCTTTAGTGTTCCCTTTCAGGGAGGGATACTGCAACCGACCCTGCTGCCTGAGGTAGACATTGGGAGTCATTTCATTACGGTCCTCTGTCACACCCATCATATCTAACCCATTTGAGTTATATTCATTTTACTTTCTACTTTTTAAATCCATTCACTTCTCTTCAACGCCATTTTCCTAACTGCATCTCCTAGCCTTCAGATTTGTTCTCCCAATCTTTAAGCCATTGGAGTCTGTGAATCTGATCAATGGCATTCATATCATTCCCAATGTGTATTTCTAAGCTTATTGCTGTCAGGTTAAAGTCCAAACTTATCAATGTGGTTTACAAAGTTTTTCATGGTATCATCATTTGCTTACCCTTTCAGCTGCAGCTCTATTTTCATCTCATATTTCACATCAAGTAGTCCTCCTATTAGTACTCACAGCACCCTCTACCTATGATAGTACTTTGAACATTGTACTGTAATTGCCTGGTTACCTATTTGCCTCACTAGATGGTAAGGTCTATCTAGTGTCCATCAGGACAGGGACTGTGTCTGTATTGTTAACACTGAACCCAATGCTTGGCAGTTATTTGGCTCACAGTGATCACTCAAATATTTTTCAAATACTGGGCTAATGCTTCTCACATTTAAAAAATGTTCAGACTTCCTTTAAAGAGAAAACAATTACTTTAGGCTTTCAGACCCCTGGGGTCCTCGGGTCTCAATCTCATAAACATTGAATTCAGAAACAAGAGTCTTTTGAGTTTTGTATCAGTAACTGGTAAAAACTTTTGGAATTTCATAGAAATATAAACCCCTTCCTTTCCAACTTGGGCCCAGCAGCAGGATGGCTCCCACAAAGAAGGGTGGGAGAAGGGCTGTTCTGCCATCAACGAAGTGGTGATCTGAAAATACACCATCAACACGGAAAAGTGCATCCATGGAGTGGGCTTGTCCCTTGGGCACTCTTTGCCATAAAAACGGGGACTCCGGATGTGCACACTGACATCAGGTTCAACAAAACTGTCTCAGCCAAAGGAATACGGAATGTCCCATACCACATCTGTGTGTGGTTGTCCAGAAAACATAATGCAGTCGAAGATTCACCAAACAATCTCTATACTTTGGTTACCACTTTCAAAAATCTACAGTCAATGTGGATAAGAACTAACCGCTGGTCGTCAAATAAAGTTATAAACTACCCTTCTTCCCCCCGCCCCCCAAAAAAGGAAACCCAAATTTTAAAAAACTACTAAGGACTTCATTTTGGGAAACATCGCTCTTGTTTCGGGTACTGTATTATAGTTAATTAAATCACTGGGCTTCCTCTTATCTGTGGGCCTTTCTAGTGCACATGTTCTACTAAGTGCATCTCTGGCGTCCTCCCAGCCCAACAAGCACATTGAGAGAAAGAAGAAACGCGCATACCAGAAGTGCAGAGACAGTGGCTTCCGCTGGCGCAAAGAGCAGGGACTCCAAAAGACGCAGGACTAGGCGGTAAAGTGATGCCCAAGGATCGCGATACAGCTCACCGGCAGCTCGCCTACCAGTCCACACATTGCAGATCACTAACCCAGAGCAGCCGCCAGGGCGCCGCCGGAAGTCCCGCCCTCTCCCTCCCGGCGCTGCCTTCTGACGTCACGTCACGCGGGGTTAGCCGGGAAGTTTTCCGGACTCAAAGCTGAGCCTTGGAGGAGACGGCTGTCAGTTGGCAGTGGGGTCCTTGCGGACTACGTTTGCGACTGTCTTGCGGCTTGTAGCTGTTCTCTCTGTCCCCGCGCCGCATTTATCTTAACGCTTTCTAATTCTCCTCTCTTAGCCTGCTCCCTGCTTGGGCCTAGTATTTGTAAGCATTTGCTGATAAAGTACTAAAATAAAACGATCTTTTCGCAAATCCTGCTCAGCTACAAACTCCTTGACGCTAGGACTTTATCTCTTAACCTTTTTGAACAGTTTATCACCAGTATCTGGTACAATGCCTGGAACCTGGTAGGCCACAGTAAATCAATCAATATCTCTCTCCCCCCGCCCCCAGCTCATTTGGAAATTTTACTGTAAAAATTAAGGCACATAAGTTGGTAGCTTTTGGGCCAAACTCCAGCCAGCACGGTGTTTTCAAATATTTTGGTTTAATTGTTTTAAGAACTGGCCGGGCACGGTGGCTCATGCCTGTAATCCTAGCACTCTGGGAGGCCGAGGCGGGCGGATTGTTTGAGCTCTGGAGTTCCAGACCAGCCTGAGCAAGAGCGAGACTCCCGTCTCTACTAAAAAATAGAAAGAAATGATCTGGACAACTAAAAATATATATATAGAAAAAATTAGCCGGGCATGGTGGCGCATGCCTGTAGTCCCAGCTACTCGGGAGGCTGAGGCAGGAGGATCGCTTGAGCCCAGGAGTTTGAGGTTGCTGTGAGCTAGGCTGACGCCACGGCGCTCACTCTAGCCAGGGCAACACAGTGAGACTGTGTCTCAAAAAAAAAAAAAAAAAAAGCATATGACACAAGACCACCTATTGTGGAAAGGTCAGTCTTTTCAGCAAATGGTGCTGAGAAAACTGGATAGCCACATGCAAAGAATGAAACTGGACCCTTACCTAACACCATATAGAAAAATTAACTTAAAATGGATTAAAAACCCAAATATAAGAACAAAAACTTTCTGATGCTCCAAAATTAAGAATAAAAAAATTTAAAAAAGAGCAAAAACTGTAAAACAATATAGGAGGGAACTTTCATGACATTGGGTTTGGTAGATATCATGAACATGACACCAAAAGCATAGGCCAACAATAGAAAAAATAGACAAATTGGACTTCGTAAAAATAAAAAACTTCTGTGCATAAAAGGACACTGTCAAAAGAATGAAAAGGCAACCCACAGAATGGGAGAACATACTTGCAAATCAGATCTCTGTTAAGAAATTAACATGCAGAATGTATAAAGAACTCCTACAATTCAACAACAAAAAACCAAACATTTCTCCAAAGAAGATACGTAAATGGCTAATAAGCACATAAAACGCTGTTCAACATCATTAGTCATTATGGAAAAGTAAATAAAAACCACAATGAGATATCACTTCACGTCCATTAGGATGGCTATTAAAAAGAAAAACAAAACAGGCTGGGCGCGGTGGCTCACGCCTGTAATCCCAGCACTCCGGGAGGCCGAGGCGGGTGCATCGCTCAAGGTCAGCAGTTCGAGACCAGCCTGAACAAGAGTGAGACTCCCGTCTCTACTAAAAAAATAGAAAGAAATGATCTGGACAACTAAAAATATATATATAGAAAAAATTAGCCGGGCATGGTGGTGCATGCCTGTAGTCCCAGGTACTCGGGAGGCTGAGGCAGGAGGATCGCTTGAGCCCAGGAGTTTGAGGTTGCTGTGAGCTAGGCTGACGCCACGGCACTCTAGCCCGGGCAACAGAGCAAGACTCTGTCTCAAAAAATAAAAATAAAAAAAAAAGAAAAAACAAAACAAAACAAAACCCAGAAAAAAATAAGTGTTGACAAAGATGTGGAGAAAATGGAACTCTGTGCATTGCTGGTGGGAATGTAAAATGGTGCAGCTGCTATAAAAAACAGTTTAATGGTTCCTCAGAAAGGCAAATACAGAATTAAAATGTGCAACCATTTCACTCCTAGGTATGTACCCAAAGGAATTGAAAGCAGGGACACAGATAATTGTACTGTAATGTTCCTTGCAGCATATTGACAATGAACAAAAGATGGAAGCAGCCCAAATATTCATGAACAGATGAATGGATAAATAAAATATTGTATATGCATACAATGGAGTATCATTCAATCATAAAATGGAATGAAGTTCTGATACATGCTACAACATGAATAAACTTTCAAGGCATTATATTATACTAAGTGAAATAAGCCAGACAAAAGGACAAATATTGTATGCTTCCACCTTTATGAGGTACCTAGAATAGTATAGAGACAGAAAGTAGAATAATGGTTACTGGGGGCTGGGGAAAAGAAGGAATGGGCAGTTATTGTTTAATGGATTCAGAGTTTCAGTATGGGATGATGAAAAAGTTCTGGAGATGGATACTAGTCATGATTACACAACAGTGTGAACATATTTAGTGCTGTTGAACTATACACTTGAAAATGATTAAACTGCCGAATTTTATGTTAGATATAACTTAGCACAGTAAAGAAGAAGAGGAAGAAGAAACGGTAGGTTATGGCCATTATATAATCTTTTCCAAGTGATTTCCAAACAGAGATCTTGTATAAGATATTGGCTACCATCAAGTTAAAAAGATGAGGCAGGAACAGCAAAATAATCATGAGTTTCCCCCCAAATATGGGAGGAAAAATCAGTAATAAATATCTTCTAATAGTTTAAAAAATAGCAGCAGTGGTCAGGTTGTCTTTTCCTTGTTCAAGATCTTCAAGGGGATATGTCTGAAGTTTTTCCATTAAGTATAATATTTTCTGAAGGTTTCTGACACATAATCTTTGTCAAGTAAGGAAAATTCATTCTCTTAATTTTCTAAGTTTCTTTTTTTTCTTTTTGTTTTTCTTTTCTGTTTTTAGACATAGTCTTGCTCTGTCATCCAGGCTGGAGTGCAGTGGTGCAATCATAGCTTTCTGTAACATTGAATTGGGCTCAATCGATTCTCTTGCCTCAGCCTCCAAAGTGGCTGGGACTATAGGAGCATGCCACTATGCCAAGCTAATTTTAATTTTTTTGTAAAGACAGGGTCTCCCTATGTTGCCCAGGCTGGTGTCAAATTCCTGGGCTCAAGTGATCCTCCTGCCTCGGCCTCCAAAAGTGCTAGGATTATAGATGTGAGCCACTATGCCCAGCCTTCTAAATTTCTTTATGGGAAAAATCTTTGGAAGCATTTCTAAAAATACAGGAGAACATAATTTATGTCTGGGATCTGACCCATTCCAGATTAAGAATATTTTCAGGGTTTAGATAGCTTACCTCCAGAAAAACCACAGTGATTTTTAAAATACATGTTTTGGCATATAAGAAATGGCTTGTGGCCAGGCAAAGTGGCTCACATTTATAATCCTAGCACTCTGGGAGGTCGAGGCAGGAGAAATGCTTGATCTCAGGAGTTCGAGAGCAGCCTGAGTAACATAGTGAGACCTTGTCTCTACTAAAAATAGAAAAATTAGCGGGGCATCATGGCACTCACCTGTAGTCTCAGCTACTCAGGAGGCTGAGGCAGGAGGATTGCTTGAGGCCAGGAGTTAGAGGCTGCTGCATACATACATTTGAAAAGCAGAGAATGAAATTATGAAAAAAAAGAGAGAGCAGAGAGGTCTCTTCCCTTATTTTCTACAGGGCGAATTAAGCCTCTTAATATGTTTTATATGTAAAACAACTGGAAGGACTGATTTTTTTTTTCTCTACCATATATTTATGGTAGAGACGGGGTCTCACTCTTGCTGAGGCTGGCCTCAAACTCCTGGCCTCAAACGATCCTCCCGCCTCAGCCTCCCAGAGTGCTAGGATTGCAGGCGTGAGCCACCACATCTGGCCTGGAAGGACTGGTCTTAAAAGGTGAGATGCATCAGTTCTTTTACTACAGGAGGGAAACAAATGTTTCAGTTCATTTGGGTCTTTGGGTGTATAAAACAGGGATTCAGTCAACAAACTCCTTTTGTTGCTTTCCTCAGGGAAGGAACTATGGGCCCAATGAAATCCATGAAAACTCTCACCTCACATGAGGTAGATTCAGCTTTATTACTGACAAAGATTCTTTGCTTGACCAACCGTTAGTCAGGCTTCTGAAACTTCAACTAAGTCCAACTGTACACTTCCTTGTAAAATCCAGTTTTGGAATGAACTCTGCTAAGTCAGTTTAGCAAGAACCCCCCACCTTCAATATCTGATCACCCTCAATATCCGGTCAGGTTCTTTATCTTCCATTATTTCCCAGGTAAGTTCTGATCACCTTGGCCTGTCTTCGGCAAGAATTCGTTAGGTTTTTTTTTTTTTTTTTTTTAGCCAGAATCATCTATACCCCTTCTTCCAGTGAATTTTACATTCACTGACCCTCATGTACTTCTTGGCTATAAATTCCCACTTGCCCATGCTATATTTGGATTTGAGCCTAATCTCTCTCCTCCACTGCAAAATCCCATTGCTGTAGTCCCTATAGCTATTGCACAGTTCTGAATACAGTCTTCCTCACCACACTTTAATAAGTATTATTAATTTTTTTTATTTTACATTACCTCCTAACCATTCCTATTCCTTCTAATGGCAGTTCATAAAATGTGGTCCCCAGACCATTAGCACCAGCATCACTTGGAAACTAGTTAGAAATGTAAATTTTTGGGCTCTACCTACTTATTTTACTAAATCAGAACCCCTGGAGTGGGCCCAGCAATCTTTATCTTAACAAGATTGCCAGATTATCCTGATGCACTCTAAAGTTAGAGAACCAGTGCTTTTGAAGAAACCTTGAAAAGAAAGTAAGTGTAATTTCCAGTCAAAGAGACTTCCCGTAGCAAATTTGCAAAAATAACATTTTCCTGTTTTGTTGAAATATGTTTAGTCTAGTATTGGGAAGTGACACACAAATT